GGAGCCCAAGCCGTTCGCCTACGACTACGCCGTCAACGACCACTACACGGGCACCAACTTCGCCAAGAAGGAGGAGAGCGACGGCCACAACACCCAGGGCTACTACTCGGTGGCTCTGCCCGACGGCCGCACCCAGCACGTCAAGTACGTCGCCGACCATTACGGCGGATTCAACGCCGAGGTCACCTACGAGGGCGAGGCCCAGTACCCCGAGTACCACCCGGCCCCGGCCTACAAGCCCGCCCCCTACAAACCTGCCCCCGCCCCCTACAAGCCTGCCCCGGCTCCTTACAAGCCTGCCCCGGTCTACAAGCCCGCCTACTAAATTGACTGCAACGCGGCATTTCTTGTTTGTGTTGTGATATTTATTGTCAGCGTTCGTACCTGCCACGTTTTATAATACATGATTTTGTCTGCCTTCTACTTGATAGCCTTTTGTGAGTGAACAGATGAATTATACCGTTTTATCTATGACTGGAGCAGGGTGGATACCTCTCCGTATTCTTCAGAAATCGCCGGGGAAATGTTCAAAATGTTTCTCGTTCCACCTCGGGCAATAAGCACAAGACAATGATGATAGGTATGCGACAGAGAAGCTTGAATATTGGTCAGAACACTATTTGTTTAGTGACGTTTGTATGATAAGAGGCAAGCAAATAATCATCTTTTTCACTATCAATCGAACGAAAATCCGTCCGAAAACGTTCGAAAAATGACGTTTTATTTACGTAACGTCACGCCTTTTTGTTTGAAAACCCTATGCCTATTATATAGGTACTTTTTTAAGAATCAAGGCATAAATGAAACGTGTAGTTGATTGCGTTTTGTCATTTAAATGGCTAGCTAGGTTTCCAATTTTTTTGATTTCATCCGAAATGAAAAAAAAACTTTTTCAAAGCCTTTATGAAATGCCAAATTTTAAGTTCTTCAAAAAATTGAATATTTTACAGAGGGAAGGTGTGCAACTTTAATCTCCAAATTCGGGAGGAATCGGTTCAAAATGTTGTAGTTATTGAAATTTAGCGACATTATGGCCCACAAATAAAAGAAACGGTGTTTTTTCCAGCCCAAAATGCACCAGACGGGAAAATAAAAATGTGCTTTTTCACCAAAATCCACCGTGCAGGTGTGTGAACGGAAACATACACACACCTGTCGATTCTTCGAGAAAAACTGCTGTAACCCCATCAGATAAACACCTTTTTGGGTCTTTAACCTGGCACTTATAAGGGGTCGAACGGACTCCCTAAATTTTTTTCGAGAATATCTCGCGTAAAAAGCGACCGATCGCGACGAAACTTCAGCGTACATTCGAACTGATCCGTTTTACAACCAGCCACACATTATCTTTTCCAGCGCGTTTCTTTTCCAGCGACCTCGACCTGAAATTCTTCTAAATATGGCCCATATCACTAATTGAGCATGCCCGTTGAGTTCTATGAGCAGAATGACCCTTAACCCGCGCCCTGCTGGGGGGGTGTTTGTACACCCCCCCCCTTGTGGTTTTTCGCGAATATCTCAAAAACGGCGGCGCGGAGCGCCGCCGTTTTTGGTACACCTTATCATACATCAATTCTACACATGTTGTGAAAATTTCAGACCAAGGTCTTTCAAGGTCAGGTCACCAGGTCACTTGAAGTGACCTCACCTCATAAAAAGTTTCAATGTCTGTCATAGCTACACCGAGTGACCGATCGCTTTGAAACTTTCAGCGATTGCTAAGAGCAATAGCATGTACAAAATGTATGTCTCAGAATTTTGATATCGATGACCTAAAGTCAGGTCAATTTTGCGACCTCCCCATTATAAGTCAATGGGAGATAATTGAAATGCGCCTCTTTTGGACGAAAGACATTATAAACACTCCCAAACACTGAATTACAAGTGGTTTAGACACACTGAACATGAAAATGGTGTCCGTGACCCCTGTTTATGCCCTGAGGTCATCTTAGGTCACGAATTGTATCTAACAGTTTTTCGCAAATAACTTTTGATAGAGGCATGCTAGAGCGATGAAAACGCCTTAGATGTGTTCAGCTCGACGATACGGATCGACTGATATGCAACATGACCTTTTCCGGTCAGGTCATGACCTTGACCTGAGGTCAAATTTTCAAGTTGACCTTTGAAGGTCAAGTTATAGTTCATTCGATGCGTCTTAACGAGAGGAACACGATGCCGGTAAAAGTAAGCTCGTACAAGGCTTGGTCAAAAGTTATTGCAGAAAAACTGTTCCCGAAAAAATCGGCTATTTTTGCAGTTTTTGCCCCCTGCAGGCAAAACCGTTGACGTTAGGTCAAATCTGAGAAAATTACTCAGAAAGGGCGTTAATAGAGCTATCGAATGCGCTTTTCCGCGGCGCTGTAGCTCTATTGGTTACCGAGTTATGCGCTGGCTTTTTGGAAATTGTCGACATTCGACCTGGAAATCGGCGAAATTCTGCCTTCAATGACCTCTGGTGACCTAACCTTTGACCTGACCAAAAATTGACCGAAGTGATTTCCTCATTATTTTTGACGCTCTTTCGAACGCCGCCTTCCGCGTATCGCTACGTGGCCCAGGAGCCGAGTTAGAAGGGGGGGGGCTGTTCAAACAACCCCCCCAGCAGGGCGTGGAAATCCAGGACCCCCAGCCGGGCGCGGGTTAAGATTTGTGTCGCACATATCCTATTCTACAGTTCGTCTTTGCTGACTTGACCTGACTTTGACCTTGACCTTTGCATAGCATTGTATGCAATTGTAGGGTAAGATGCCTAAGTAGCGCTAAGGTTAGGCTCCCACGTTGCTATTACCTACATATATTGCTTCCGGGTTCACATAAACCGGCTTAACGTAAAACTTCGCTCCTGGCCAAAACTGCCAGATGTAATGATGACCCCCGGTTCCAGACTATAGGTTTAGGCTGGCGGAGCAAAAAAAAAAACTTACAATGGGGAGGTCAAGAAATTGACCTGACCTTAGGTCATCGGTCTCGAAATTCCGATATAAACAAATTGTAGCTACTAATGACCTCATTGCCTCCTGCGACTTTCAAAAGCCTCCGTCATCTACTGTAGCCCTATCACGGTGAGAAAGTTGCAAAAAGTGATTTGGGGTTGGGTCATTCGAAGTGACCTGGTGACCCGACCTTGAAAGATAATAGGTTGAAACTTGCACACCTTGTGTAAAATTAATGAGGAAATAGTCATGTCAAATTTCGCGACGCTACACCCTGCAGTTTTCCGCTATTCACGAAAAACCTCAGGGAGGGAGGTTGACCCCCCCCCCGTCGGTGCGCGGGTTAAGCAAAACAATTCGCGCTCCAAAGGTCCGTAGTGTTGAGAGCTTCCGGTTGCCGTTTCCGTTGTCTTTCTTAAATCCCTAAATCGGAAGTTAGACAAGCTGGCAGAGTCTGCCCCCACCCGTGAGGCGCATACAGCTAGTTAATATACCAGCGGGGCGCGGGTTGATTGATAATATGCAATTGTTACTACTTATTTAGCAATGTTTGTACTTAGGGGAGAGTGATGCACATTGCACATTCGTGCAAAAAAATGGATAAATCCATATGTCTGTTTTTTTTTTTGGTTGATGCAATGGTAAAATTGTTGATTGTAGTATATGGAAAGGAACTATGGCAGGTATTTTTCCTCATTAATAGTTATCCTCTAAAATTACAGTCTCTATTAGAAAATATGACTTTAAGAAACTCTGAACGTTTGCACGAAACTACCCCAGGTATAGGGCACTTTCGTGCAAGGGGTGGGGCACTTCCGTGCACCCTGCAAAGTTCGAGGAATAACCAGGCATTTCCATATTTTACCAAAAGAAGTTGTCAGAGGGGCATTTCACTCGATTCCTTTCGACAAGAATGCATAGCACAGCAAATGTAGAAAGAATGGGCTGGCTAACAATAATGTGCCAACTGCCGGCCATCAGCCCGCCTCCGTGACCTCGCCAAGGTCGCGTGAATTACTTGTCACGACTCACGACGTCGCAAGCAGCCAAGACTGAGTCAGGCGAGCGTCATAAATGAAACCTTCTACAGATAGTCATGGGTCGCAAAAAAAAAACGAAGAAATGCAGGAATATGCCCCTGGGCAGTGCGTACATGAAGCTGCCCCACAACGTTTTTTTGTAATATATTTTAGAGCTTCTTGTTGAAAAATGGCACCTTTTTTAACAAACGAGTTTGCAGCAATTCCGTGAATAACGTGAGCTTCTTCGCCGTAAAATTTTGAAAAGCTGATCCGCATTTTCGAGCCAGGATCACGAAAGTGGATGTTATGAAAAAGTTTAAAAAGCGCACGAATAATGCAACTTTGCGGTTTTATCAAGCATGATAGCAGTAATAGTGTTGTCTTCTACGGAGAACAGGGGGCGGCAATGATGAACATATTTTTATAATTTACCTTTAGCTTGGCAGCCACTCGTGTTCCCATTAACTGCGGGAAACGAATGTGCCCAATGAACGAAAGTGTCCCGCTCTGCCCTTTTCTAAATGAGCTACAAATGATGGCTAAAGCCTTAAGTCTTGTAATAAGTTATGCGTGGCCGAAATGTGACATTTCAAAAACCGACTATGATTCCGGACGTCTCTTATTTACCTGTCCATAGATGAGGGATTCAGGGCATTACCAGAATGGTTGCGATACTTCTGTATTGCCTGTGCTGGTTTCAAGTCAATCTCCTCGAAAAAATTGACTAGCATCGTTATGGGAATCAGGTGCATCTGTGAGATTTCATAATGTTCCAAATACATGCGGTACACTTACCTGACATCCTGCATTTTTTATTTAAGCGAAAAACTAAGCCGTCATCGAAAACTAACATGGTCGTTGGTTCAAGTGTATGAATAGCAAAACGCATCGCTGGTCACTTCGACGTCCATTGTCCAGTGTCCACCAGACATCGTCGACACTCGACCTTGAAGATATGTTCGATCGGTCCAGTTGACTGCCGGGAGGGGTGACGGGCGTGCCCAGCTATATAAGCGGCCTCTCACTCCACACCGACATCAGTTGAGGAACGCTCACAACCGGATCACCACATCATGAAGGTGAGAGCGAACGCGGCGATTTGGTACCGAAGTGGGTCTCGGTCAGGGAGTGTTTCGGAATTGAGACGAAAGGTTAATAGTTAAATGTTCCCAGTCTGTGTCAGCCGTGAACACCGGAAGAAAAATTGCCGAGTGTGCTTGTAAGTGTGTGCACAGGCTCTCCAGGGCGTTGACGACAGAATTAAAAATGACTACGGTTATTTTTTATCTGCATCAATTTATGCATGGAATTCTTCCAACCCGGTGATCTAACTAAATATTTTCTATTTTTCAGGTGTTCATCGTTGCCGCCGTCCTGGCCGTGGCCGCCGGTGCCCCGGCCCCGGAGAACCCGCCGTCCTACCGCCCGGCCCCGGCCTACAAGCCGGCCCCCTACCACCCGGAGCCCCAGTACAAGGAGGAGCCCAAGCCGTACGCCTTCGACTATGCCGTGAAGGACGGCTACTCGGGCGCTGACTTCGCTGCCAACGAGAACAGCGACGGCAAGCAGACCACCGGCTACTACAAGGTGGCCCTGCCCGACGGCCGCATCCAGACCGTCAAGTACGTCGCCGACCACTACAACGGATTCAACGCCGAGGTTACGTACGAGGGCGAGGCCCAGTACCCCGAGTACCACCCAGCCCCGGCCTACAAGCCCGCCCCCTACAAGCCGGCCCCCGCCCCCTACAAGCCCGCTCCGGCTCCCTACAAGCCCGCCCCCAAGTACAACTAGTCCGAATGCCACTGTGATTCCTGTCCCTGTTGCTGCGTATTTATTGTCCATCAGTGTGTTTGTTTTATGCAATACAATGTGAAATGAATAGAAGCTGTTTTTGTTGCACGACAATTTCTCACTGGAGAAAGAAATCATTACGAACACAAAGAATCGATAAAAGACCTCCAATATAAACCATTTTGCTATCCAGCACGGTTGGCTACAGTTGAAAACACCGGAAGGTAGGAAGGGAGGGAGAAAAAAAACAGAAGAAATACCACCTTGCTAAGACGTCATGGTTTTCCTTATTAGAATATATGACCTTCTCCTCGGAAAATGACCAAATGAATGAAAATGATTATTTATTGATGAATTGATGATATTTCGGTCACAGACCTTCGTCTAAATCGAATTCGTGAAATCGTACAAGGCAAAAGTAGCGAGTGAAAAAAAAAGCCGCTACTTTTGCCTTGTACGATTTCACGAATTCGATTTAGACGAAGGTCTGTGACCGAAATATCATCAATTCATCAATAAATAATCATTTTCATTCATTTGGTCATTTTCCGAGGAGAAGGTCATATATTCTAATGATACTTCTGTAGCAAGGTAAAGAAAGAAAAAGAAGAAAGAAGGAATAAAAAAGCTGCATCTTCTTTGCGGTTCATCAAATACTGCGATCCATTGTTGTTCGGCTGGTTGTAGCAGAAAAGAGAGCAAATTGCTGCTGGGAGATCCTCGATAGTAAAGCTGGTAGAACAGGGGAGCTTGAGAGTCTTGGAAAAGATCCCGAGAGAGATCTAGAGATCCTGAGATGGAGATTAGATCCTGAGATTGAGATTTAGATCCTCCTGAAGGAGATGTAGATATCCAGCTGAGGAAGATGTAAGTCTAGATCCACCTGAGAGAGAGGTAGGTATCTATCCTCCTTGCATACAAATACATCTGATGGAAGATGCTTTTTAAATTGGAGGCTTGATGATTCTGTTCATTGTATAGACCATGATGCACGAGATGCTTCTTCACTGCTCGGATTAGGGATAGAGGGATCCGATCAGCTGGGTTTGCAGCACAGTTGGGCAGGTGAAGGACAGGGCATTCGAAGTCCCGATGACCACTGCCAAACATATGGGTGGTAATTACATTGATTAATTGAATGTGATCATTCGTCCAGTCACCCATTCCTATATCACTGGCCTCCCCATTACAAAAATTGCCCGCTTAGTTCGTATTAGCGTTGCTAGTTTAGTTGCCCTCGAGAATCATTTGTTCGACTGCCATAACCGAATTCTACCAAATTCCTATCGGCCTTACTCTAAGATTCATGCGTCATCATTCTCACATCCTTGCTCGCATTACGTTCACATTTCATGTATTCACCCAAATTTAATTGGTAGCCCCCGAAATTCCCTCCGATAGTGTTAGGCGTCTTACAAACCATGGTCTCCCCGGCGAGATAAATGTCTCTTTCCGAAATCCATATGCATGCTCCGCTAACCGGCGACAAAGATACTTATCGCAGGGCCGTCCAGAATAATTATACACAAATATCCACCCTACTAATTTATGGGATTCACTACACGTCCGATAGACTTATGGTACACACATACACGATTTATATCCGACTTATCTCTCTACCGGGAGAGATTACCTATGCCCTCTTCCGGTCCGCGTGTAACATTCCCGTTCACGACCCAGGGACCACCGTTCATATCCTGGAACTCTTCTCAGGAACTCTCCTTAAACCATGGGATTTACTCTTCAAGGCCTTACGTGTCCTGGAGTACATTCTTCCCTCCCCTGAGGCTGTCCAGTACCGATTAAGGTACCTTTACAAAATAAGTATGAGGACTTATTCGGGACACTACGGCGCGCCTTATCCGCACTTTTGGGTGACTCACCCCTGACCCTCGGCTTCTTGCCTTTGGCATAACTTACTCTCCACTGCACACTGTGCCAATCTTCCCCTTCCCCCTGCCGTAGAAACCTCTCACTGCCTTCTCACCCAGTGTTACCTAAGCGGGAAAATTAACAGTGGCCGGTACCACTGGCGGAAAACGTGCATATGCCCTGCGTACGTGACGGCGTGTCCCTCTTATTATTCCGGTCTGGACGTGGGTTTAGAGAAGTGCATCTGTGTCTCATACGGTCATGCTGGTAAACGCTACGCCATAGGAGACGGGCAAACAAGCCGTCTGTGCCTCACAATGCCCTGTGCCAATATTGGTGGAGTAATTATTGGCGCTAACTCTCAAGAACGCGAATAACAGAAACGCATCTAATCGTAATCTCAAGTCCTAATTGCTGCTGCACGCGTGAACCTAATCATCAGTTCTCGTAAACAATCCTAGCAGACCTTGAACCGCTCTTGATTTCATCAGATAATCTAGAACCAATTAGTACGCACCGATCTGTCGTCTGGTTGTGATCCACCGTATCATAGTGAATTGCTGAATGCTCAAACGGAAATGACTCCTTGAAACTCGTTCGATAGCTTCTGATGGGCTACTAGTTACCTAAACAAATTATCTTTATAGAGTGCCAGAATATTGTCATAGGGTCCCTAGCCTTTCATAGGGAATCTATTTTAAATCATCCTATTAGCAGTAAACAATGCGCATCAAACGAAGTGCAGTCCTAAATATCAAATAGCATGTCATATTTAAAATTATGCATTAACTGTTTACGTTCTTACCCCGTTGCAACTTTCCACAACTAACCATGCTCCTATATACAATGACCTTCACCTACCGCCCGCGCCCCAATTACGGCTAACCCACTGCCCCTGTTGTGGCTGCTTTTTACGCCCTCTGGCGGCTCAACGCCCGCGTCGAGAGCGACGATACTGGCCGCCGGCTGGCGTCGCGTCGACAGTCAGTCAAGGCCACGCCGCGATGGGCGCGTCATCACTCGCGGTGCAATGCTCGTGCGTGTTGTCTCTTCTGGCCGGGTGGATTCACCGGATGTGTCAGTGAGTGTGAATCTGGTAAAATATCGCTGCAATATCTCCCTGTTCGACATCTCATCAGCTCCATTCAACGTAAGTTTTTTTTAAAATTAAATTCCTGTCCCATTTAATCGTTCCCCAACAAAGGTGGTCCTTTCTAGTATTTATTCTACAAAAGCACAACGATCGGCACCTATATTAGTCGCATATTAGTTCTAACCACAAACAATTCTACATCTACCTGTTACTCGACATTTCGCAATTTCAATGACGCAAAGTGACCATCTAAAGTCGCTAAGTGTCAAACCGTCAACCTCAAACCACTGCTCGCAACTCTGCACCTAAGTAACAGAAGAAATTCCGCCGTAAGCTCAAGCATTCGTATCTGTCGGAAATCATAACTCATAGCCATATTCATAGATCGATCGCATGAATCAGTCGCCACCTTAAAACATTACATTCCCTTTCAACCGTATTTACCTGTTCTATAATTGATTTCGACTTCGCAATTAATTCCTACAGCAATATTACCAATGATTTCGCAATGCAACTTTTAGTGAGTACAGCACGAATCTAAACCCTTAATTTCACAAACGTTCCAACCTCAAAACGCACCTGGCCATCGCCCATAATAAATCGAACGAACCAGCTTGACCGAAGACAAAGACATTTCAACGCTGTCACACATCCAGTCATCAATCTCAACGTTCGTGACCATGAGCTGCTTATTCAAATTTTAGCCTCTCGCTCTGGGCCTAATCGTGAACTCCAACTGACAATAACGGTTTGCTGGCGACTCTGACATGACTTCGAAATTCAGATCCTAATATGCTACTAGGGTGTCTGGACCAATAAGCTCAAAGTAATTTAAGTTTTCCAATTCCAATTGAGAGTGCATTTTATGGCAACCGAAAATGTTTGGCAGTCGTCACGGCACGGCAACCGGGCAGAGGGGGGGGGTCAAGGATTGGGATTGAGCAGACTTTTCAACAACACTCACATTCTGGAGTTTCTCTGCGCTTCCGCTTCTCAGTGTGGTCACAAGCGTCGGCTACTGTCCTCGGTTCTGATCACTCGAACTGAAGAGGCTTCTCGCGGGTGACCCCGGACTGACGGCGGCCTCCAGATGGCGTCTCCGGCTCCGGCTGCAGACTGTGACTCTCGGCTGCTCGACTGTGATTCTCCCTCTGGTTGGGTGGCGCACCCTTTTATAGTTGGGGGGAGGGGTGACTGCCACGCCCTTGCGACGTCATCTTCCTCTGCCTTCTTCTGGTGGGTGGGGCCGTAAGATGGCGCCCTCTGTCCTGTTTAGTCACCATGCTCCTCTGTGCCTGCAATTTTTGGCCGTCGAATCGTCTTCGTGTTGAGTGCTTTATCATTTTAATAATCGCTGGCATAAAACAATCCCCGAAAGGTTTGTGATTTTCGAGTTTTAATTTTGATTCTTCAATTTCATTTTATTCGAACTTTTGTTTCCTTCCGTTTCGTCTGCCGGCAACGCCCCTTGTGACGTCACTCTTGCTCCGCCCACTGGCCCGGGTGTGGCCGTAAGTCAGCGCCTTCTTCCTCTGCGGAGATCTCTGGAACTACCTCATGAGGCCATTGTGAGGTCGGTCACCCGGTTGTTTTGCCAGGGTCACTCATCCTGGGTTGCTGTGCCCGACAAAGGAGGCTGTGTGCTCCAGCCGGCATCCATCCTTGACACTGCTCCATGATCTGTTGACATATCTTACTGATCCAGCGCTCCCAGCCGTTATCTGTCCTCGGCGTGGGTCCATGAGCTGTTGACAATGTTACTGATCCAGCTGTTACTTGTTGGGGTTCGAATCGTTCATCCTGCGGTAGCTGTCTCCAAAAGCGCGCGTCTTAACCCGCGAGTTTAACGGCTGCCCATTGCGAAGACCTCTGGAACTACTGCGTTTTTGCTTGCCATAGGATCTTCCTGGTTGTGCCATTCCCACCATGTGACTCAGCGCGGTGCAGCTGTTGTGGTACCTGACAGAGTACGTGACAAGTGACAGAGTACCTTAACGTGCTCGCTCGCCGCCGCCGCCGGCCGCGGTCCTGACGTAGCTTGTTGACTCAGCTGTGCCTCGACGGTTCGTACTGATGTAGGCGGCATCGTCTTCTCGCAGATGTGTCTACTGCGGCTATTCCCACG